GAAGAAAGTGATGTGGAACAAGATGAAAACGAAAATGAAGATGATGAAGAGCAAGAGCAAGAGCAAGAACAACAACAAGATCAAGAACAAACAGAGAATGGAGATATGGAAGCTAATTCACCGTCCTCAAAATAGTCAAATTTTTGGTAAAAATTAATTTGAATTTATTATTATAACTCTTGTTTTTCTTTAATAGAAATATGTCTCAGTGATACTCTTACTTCGAACTGTACATAAATCTGTATTGACCGTAAGAAGAATCGATTTTTTTCTTCTTCTCGTCAAACTGCATCTCGTATTTTTTTTCATGTAAATGTTTATTACCCTTTTTGTGCTGCATATGTAGTCAACTTCGATCTTTTTTCTTTATTCCTGAATTTCTTTTTTTTCTCTATGTTGTTGATATTCTCTTCTTCTCTTGATTGTTTATTTTCATTGATTATTGACAAAGAGAAAATGAGATATGTGCATGTTTGTGATGTTTATCCTAGATGTGTTTCAAAGCACAATGTTCAGCATAAACTTGCTGGTTTTTTTTGTCAAGAGAAAAATAAAATATCGGTTGATTATATTTTGATTTATTCTTTGGACTTATGTGATGTTTATTGTTCTTGTGTGTTTTTTCTATCTTGATCTTCAACGTTATTTTTCTACGTCGTTATAGACGATATATGTATGTACGATGGATGTTTATATGAAGGAAAGATAAGAAAAAAAAAAGGTTTAAATAAATGAAGTATGAACTACTTAAATCGACATGATTGATATTCGAAGTTTTAGTTAAATGAGAGTTCATTACGTTGCAATACTAGATATACAATGAAAATTTACAACAATTATTCTTTACTTTATCCTATGTGCAATAATAAAATTTATTGTCTAAAACTTTATTTGAATATAAAATTACGTTTTGTTTAACATAGAAGACTTAATAAACATAACTAAAAGAGAGTACATTATTAAATCGGAGTTTTTATATGAAACTTTCTTACGCAAATTGCTGAAATCAAGTTTTGATTATGATACAAGAACAGGACAATGATCTAGAGTTGGAATAATAATAATATCATTCGCTTTTTCACTATTCCACGTTTGTTCAATGGACGTTTTCGGAGAGTCGTACAGATACCAAATCGTTTTTGATTATTCTGATGTTGATGAAGTTTTGAATCTTTTTATTAGAATATAAGCTAATATTGAACAATAATCAGGTATCATTTGTCCAAATGGATCATGTAAATCAATGGGTGACAGAAATTTAGATGTAACTAGAATAGGTGAATTGGTGAAAGATAATGTTGATGCAGCATGAAGACAAGAAAGACGATATTCAGTTTTATTATTTATTCATGATGGAATGGAATCTGTAACTGTGGTCGAGGAAGTTCTTGTTCAATCTTCAGTATTGAAGATGGAGTAGAATATAAATGTATAGCTACTTTTAATGATAAAGAACTTGTTTGAACAGTAGGACGATGAATGGACTGAACAGCAACTGTATCTGTTGTTTAAGATGGTGCATAACTTGTTCTTGGATGCACCTTAACAGTACTAAATAGTGAAAAGAAAAAAAAATAATCGTATCTAATATACTCATAAAATATTGAGATGGTACTTTCACTTGCTTTCTGCTTTCAGAAAGGAAAGGAAACTTGAAACGTTTTAATATTCGATTAGTTGTAAAACTTCTATTTTCAATTTCAAATAAACTTCAACCAACATTTCTAAAGTGTTAAATTTAACACTAGTGTGTTTTTCCTCTTTTCTTATTCAATTTTATAGAGAGAAACAATTCGAACGTTCTTTCAAGTCAAATCTAAGTCTATTTCTGAAAAACAGCTATCATCACAAACTAGATTAGAAAGATTGATTAGCTTTCTTTTTGTATTTTACTAGAACTAGCGGATTTGTTGGGCGTTCGGATCTGATGTATAGTTCGGTAGACACAAACTTTTTAACATTCAACGGCTTTTTGACTAAATAACTTTCCTTTCCTTTATTTTTAGAACGGAACGTAGGGTAGGCCGAAAAACTTTTTTTTCCCTAACAAAAAGTTGGTTTTGATAATGACAACATGTTTGTACTAGTAATTATGATTGCTTTATTCAACAAGCAATATCGAACATATGACTAACAATTGACTCCAAGTAGAAAAGATTAAGGATATATGCGTAGAAGAAATAAATAGAAAGATATGAGAAGAAAAGAGGCGAGAAATAAATAGAAGCAAGTGTGCGCTTTCGCTAATGTTCAATATTTTCTCGTTCTCTCTCTACGCAAAAGGAAAATGAAATAAAAACATCAGCTTATTATTCGACATAATTCTATGTGTACTTTTTCGATGTAACAAGAGGTCAAGATTGATCTTAATGAGTAAGCGAAAATTTGGACACAGCATATGACAAAAAAAAATATTTCATTTTGTCAATGATAGCAAGAGATATACGAAACAATGAATGCAATTGAACATTGAATATCTTTCTTTGTCGAGAGAATGATGTTCATCTAAATAGGAAAATTATGACAAGAACATATGTGGACGGGATAGCTAAATGAAATAAACATATCACCTTATCACTTTTTTTATCGTGCTATTCAGTATTTATCAATATAATCAATAGAACATCAGAAGACAAACTAAAACAATGTCAATTTTCGTCATTTATTTAATCGTATAGATGATAATAATTACCGGACATTCGATAATTATTTTAAATATCTCACCGTGCTTCCAGGTAATATAATAATACTGCACAAAATATTAAAAGATAAGCGTCCAATAATGTACTCACATTAAAATGAAACTGTAGATATTTCAAAGATTAAGTCAGAAATATGAAAAAACAATAGTTTATCATCATAAGATATTATACATCCTTTCATTAATGAGTAAATTGGCTCGCAAAATGTTGATAATCCAGTTTTATTTTTCCTAATATGTTTGACCCTTAATGTTTGTGATCTTTTTCTTTACATTGAAAATTCACAGACGATAACATCTGACGAAAAAAAAGCCGTTCGCTGAACACTTGACTGTATCAGACGAGCATAAACATTTTAGTCAAACTAGTTCGTTTAAAATGAGAAGGAAAAATAAAGAGAAATTCTTTTGTGTTATATAAAAATTGAACGTTCTATGCGGGGAGATGCATACTCATTTATAAAAATTGCACACGCATAAGAAGGCTCAACCATTCGTCTGTTCAAACAATATTCAATCAACAATATTTTTTTTCATTATAAGGGGATTTCTTAAATAAAAATAATCAAAAAGTAAAGTATATCGTTGTGTGGTACTTCGAAACAACCTAGTTACGTTATTATGCTTTAATAAAAATGATTGACTGGTAGGTGCACTATCTTCAGATATAATAAATATGGAAAGTATCTCGTATACTAAAACTAGAAATACTCATTATTTTTAACATCGATCTCTTTTTATTTCTAATAGAGGTATTTTTAAGAAGCATCGATGAAATTTGCTTTTTCCTTATACCAAGTATTTCTTAGCAGAAACGAACTAAACAGTTGTAGGATAAAATAATGAATAATTAAAAATTCATATTTCTGTAAGTGTAAAGAGTTTAAACAACAAGATTTTATATTGATTTTATTAGAATAATTTTCGATGTTGGAATAAATAGAATTTATTTTTCAGATCAAATGATTAGTACATTAGAAATATTACCAAGTGAACTAATTGTTAATATATTTTCTTATATATTATGGAACGATATTTTAGTATCCTTTTGGTCATTAAACCAACGAATTAATTCACTTATCTGTTTAACTTTTTCAACAAATAAAAATGGAATTATTATTAACCAAACAGGTTTATCTTATAAAATATTTTTATCAAAATTATTTCCATTGATTTTTAATTGTTCATTTCTGATTAATTCTATTCGACATATTCATTTGGATGGAACAAATTCAAATAGTTATGATTTTTTCAATATGAATGGATATATTAACTATCCGAATCTAAAGTCACTTATTCTTAATCGATTTTATTTATCTGAATCATTGGTTGAAAATTTGTATTTTCTTATTGAACGTCGATTGAAAGAACTTACATTGATCTTAGATGAAGATATTTTTACAGTATTTGGATTCGAAGAAAAACCTTGGATAATGGTTTCTAGTCAAGGTAATTTGTTATTGTTCGAACAGTTTATTTTTCAAATAAAAAATTCGAAATAATTCATTCTTAAAATGAAATTGATTTGCGAAACTAATGCTTTTCTTGATAAAAATAGTTGGTAGAAAGTTGAACCAAAACTTCAAATCTCAAGAGTCACATATATACTCTACAATTAAATAAATATCCAGAGAAGATAATATGGTTATTAGATGAACAGAAGCTATCTCTGCATTTGAACCAACGGATTATCTATCCCAGGATAATAAATTTTAATCGTATAGAAAGTCTAACATAGATCCAAAAGTCATAATTTGCTCTCTTATACCTAATTCTAAATGTCGTTCTCATCTTCCTTATTAGCCAGATTTTCGAAGTTTAATGATCACATGTGGAAAAAAGATATGTAGAAAAGTCTAAAAAATTATTGAAATGTTAGATAATGAAATTTATTTCAAAAAAATTATTTTGAACATGAGAAAAATAGTTAATTGATGTGTATTTCATTAAGACTTGACGTGAAGTAGTTGATTTTGAAGTTATATTGCTTTAACCCTTTGACTCCTGGTGGAACATATGTTTCATCTAGTAAACGTTTCTAATTTTCAAAAAATTTTGAATACATTTGCAGTTTTTAAGATCTAGAAAAAACATTTTCAACAAATGTTCGTAGTTAAGACATCTTTGTGCGAGATTGTACAGATATCCGTATAGATCGACAATATCAAAAAGTATACTGCGGTATGTGTATTTGATTTCAGAAAGTTTTTTTCAAAGATCTGAATTTTTGAAAAATTCGTGTTTTGACTCATTGTGTCGTAGTAAAATCTAACTGTTTTCTAAAATATGACAGATTCAGATTCTGACGAAACGTTATCCGACGAAAATCAAAGTACAATCATTTCTGATGAACTTGAAAGTAGCGGTTCTGAAGATACTGATTCATTAATTGAAGAATTCAATCAAAGTTCTATGGATGATTGAGAATAAAAAGTTAACAACTCCAGTTTTTCTAGTTCTTTCAATTATTTTGATGGATATGCATTAGGAAACAATATAATTCGACCAACAGATTCATTTCTCAATTTTATATCTTAAGATGTGATCAATTTAACTTGACCAGAGGTTTCATAATATCATTTAGCTACCTGATAGTATGGTTTATCAAACTTTAATTCGGTAGAAAAAGTTTGGACTGAAAGGGTTAAATGAAATTAGTTTGAACTATTTCGTGTTGTTTATATACGAATCTTGTATCTTCTAAAGTAAATGTTAACTAATCTTTCAACATAAATAATTGCGAATAATTTAATTGGAGAATATCTGTTGATATTTTCATAGTCTAGATTTATGTGAACTAAAAAATAGATTGCTGAGTAATAGAAGAATAGAAATTCTGTAGATGATAAACTTTCTATTAATGAAGACACTTCAAAATAACAATAAAATAGGCTGTCAATTAAGTTTTTTGTTTTAAATAATGAATTAGCAGATACTCGGCAGATTTTTTTAAACTTAATGTTGTAGTTGCTTGTTTTTTCGTCATTGAAGTTTTTCGAGTTGGATATTTGCATGTGATGTGTTTTATTAAGAGTAAACACCCAGTATACATTATTACTAGATTTATTTTTTCTAATATAGTGAAAAAACGATTGTTGATGTTCAAACGTCTGTTATGGCAAATTTTCTCTGAACGATGTAAATTAATTAGTTTTCGATTCGCCATTCCTGAAGATGAATCCATTCTTAATATTCAACAATGTTTATCAACTTCTACTTTTATTGGTTCAATTTCAAATTCAAATAAAATTAAGTACTGCTGTATGACACTTCGTTATGTAGACATTCGTATACATTACGCATGTTTTATTGAACATCTTATTGAACGTGCACCCAATCTTGAACGATTATCTGTTTATCTGAAGGCATCATGGCATAGATATCAATTATGGGATTTGACCAGTGAAAGCTGTCAAGGATCAAATACAATGTCGTCTAACAAAGTAAAGTTTCTATTGCCTTTTTATTTTTTCTTCTTCTTAGTAAAAATAGTTTTTGAAAAAGGCTTATTTTGAAAAAGCGTATTGCAGTTTTAGTAATTGTTCAATATTAAAATAAAGACTGAAGTAAGAGTATTGATTTGAAATAGTAAGAAACTTCGCGAATAGATGAAAAATTTAGTGATTGAGAGGGTGAGCTTACCGATCATAGCAAGAAAAAATGTATAGAGCGAAATAAATCTGTTGCGAATATTAAAAATATTTTTCGTTTGATCTCAAATTGAATATCGATTCAAAGAGCTGAATATTTCTTGCGAAAAGTAAAATATTGTGAAAAACATTTAATCAATTTGTGTATGTTATAAAATGTTTAAGGGAAACAGTATAGAATACATTTAATCAATCTTATTTATTTTTATTAGAAAACAAAAATAAAAATACTTGATTACTGCTAAAACATTAGTTTTTGTTTTGTTTTAGAAACTCGACGTACAAAACTTAAAATGTTTTATTCTGAAGAGTGAAGTTGAATATGATTCTCAGTTGTATTATTTACAATGGTTTTTTAACAATTTAAATAATGTTGAAAAAATAAAAATTCGTCTTAAGATTGATGGAACTTGCGAGAAAAGTCCAATAATACATGGATCTATTGTGGATGCCAATTTTATTTATAAATATTTAATGGGTAACGCAATAACTAATTTAATTTATTTTGATTTTTACATTGTTTCCAAATGTAAATTCTTGTCAAATTATACTCACAGAACAATTGAGTCATTTAAGAATCATTCTGTTTTCATCGAACATCAATGGACAAATATTAAATGTGTGTTTGATTCAATAAAATTTTATCAACATCTTTCTTCTTCATCATCTAGTATTAACAATGTATCAGAATATTTTTATGATCTAATGTAATAAATCATCTTCTTTTTCTTAAGAATATATTTATTTATTCTAGAACCTATCCAGACATTTTTTATTGGCCAAACGTCAAATATATTCAAGTCGATTTTCGGGAAGATGTTTTTTCACACGTCGAACGATTCGATAAATTCTTTCCAAATGTGTCTTGCATTAAATTTAATATGGGTAAATATATTCTAGTGTGAACAAGTTTAATGACATGCTACAGTTTTATAAACTGACAAACATAAAACATGAAGTACAGTTTGCCAAGAAATTTGTGTAGCGAAAGAAAGATTTTATCAAACTTTGTTTTGATTTAAGAATTGAAGGAAAATTCGAAAAGCGTTGTTTATGTTTAGAGAATGATAAATGGTTTAACAACTCAAACTATTCGATGCCACCATTCGAAATGGGACAGCGTAAGGCGATGTGTATTCACTTGCGATACGTGACCAGACTCGATTTTGGATTATATTTTCATCGTGAATACAGTAAATATCATTTTCTTTCTTTAATATTCGATATGAAAACAAGACTTGTTCACATGGTGACGGGAATAATTCGATAAATTTTATGCATTTCAATTGTTGTACGCTGCAAACAGATCTATATAGAAAGCATTACTTGTTTTAAAAAAATGTTTTTATTATTCGCTATAGTTTTTTTTTGTTTTATGAAGAAAGGATTTCGGATGAGCTTTGCATTCGAAATATTTTGTATTTTGGTAATTATAAGAATGCTTACAAACTTTTATTGTTCACATTTTATAATTGCTCATCAACGTTAAACTAATCTCGACGGCATTTGTAATCATTTCTTATGGTTAGCCATTGTATTTTCTAACTTGTTGAATTAAAACCTATTCGCATTGAGTGCAATAAACAAACAGGGCGGAAGCCGATCAAACCGTATTTTTGAACCTCTTTTATTTTCTCATCGAAACCTCATTGAGTAGTATACAAAGGAAAAAATTATGAACTTCGGGCCATTTTAATGTTAAATTCAATGAGTGTTTCTTATTAGATCATAGGTATAAACAGGAGCTTCTTTTATGTTGCACTAGATAACCAACCTAGTTATCAATACTGGTTAGCAATGTAATCATCGATTTGAAAAATAAATAAATGAAGATATTCAGCGATCTACAGTTGTTCTAATGAACCATTTTTGAGTTCTGTATTCGTTGTAAAAATATTCGTTTAATATCATATTTTTATTTTATTATATCAAATAAAACTGTTTTCATAACAGGCATTTTGTCTCGTATTTATGCATATATTATATTTGTCGTTGAATTATTGTTTTAATGTTAAGTTGATCCCACCTCGTCGAAAACTTGTTCGATAGTTTTTCAATTTCTATAAAATCAGCTACTTTTCAGGACGTAAAAAAGTGTGAGTGTGGTTGAGGGCGATATATTACCATTACACTAGCACCCATATTCAAATTAATTTTTGACAAAAATTGATTGTTTTCTTTCAAACCGATGGTTGCATTGGTAAGGAATATCAAAGTGTAGTTTAGTCATATAGTACATCATAAACGAAGCTTCTATTTATACATATACTCGAAAGAGAACACGTCGAGTTAGACATAAAAATGAATCGCAACTGATGATTTTTACCATATGTATCACTTAACTAGGTTTGGATGAGATAATACGAAGGGGGGGGGGGGAGGAACAAATGCGGTCTCATGTCTGTCTTTTTATGCTTTGGACAAAAAAGAATTTGTATTGGAATAAGCATAAATTTTATGTATAGTTGTTTAGATATGAAGTAAAATTGGTTATAAAATACTGAAAACAAAATAACGTCACCTTGATATAGTAAAACATAACATATCAGATGACAGAATAGAGACGAAATATTATTGCTATAAAAACAGTTTAACATAGAAAATATTGATTTTCTTTGATATCTACCTATAGAAAATCACAAAGAGATAGATATCGAAATAGGATAGGTCTTAAATGGTCTATATTAAAAAGCAAAATATTTAATACTTATTGTACTCATTAACTGTTTTTTCTCTTCTATTTGTAGGCCTTTGACGAATTAAAGGAGAATGCATTAAGCAATGTGAGATACACGGAATTTTCTCTTCCGAGTAGTCATTTTGGCTCAAATGTAACAAGTCGTCTAGGAAAATATCTTGTATCTTTTCTTAGTAAATATATGCCTTCTTTACAAACATTGCGTCTTTGGAGACCAGATGATTTTCCTTGGTCATCAAGTGAGTATTTTCAGATAAATAACTAATTATTATTTCTACAGTATGGTGAAAAGTATAAAGGAATCGTTCGCATATTACGTCATCATGAAGAGACGGAGGAAGGTGATGTCAGAAAAACGACAAGCAATGACATAGAAGAAAGGAGTACCAAAGTCAAGATAAACTAATGATCAGATATGTAATAACTCCAAATATAAAAAAATTCTGTAGACAATGTATTGCAATATTTGTCAAATTATGTAAATGAATTTTCCATCCGGCAAACTCATTTACTTGAAAATAAACTCAAATGTCATTTATAAATTTTGTATTTATAAAAACTCGATAACTCTCTATAATATCATTCAAATCTTGAATAAAAAGCCTGGGAAAAAAGTCGGAAAACTTTCTCATATCTAGGTCTTTGCTGTTAAAATATAGAAAAGCTGAAAAAGGAAGAAATTTTTTGTTTGAGAACATCCATCGTATCTACATCTACATCCAGTACCATTCATGTTTAAATTATCTCTTTTCGAAAAACAATTTGACTCTAAAGTTTTTTAACTTGAGACTATTTAAACTATGGCTGATTTTAAAGTAAAAAATGTGGCGAGAAAGACGTTGTGATAATTTATTTTTGTTTAATACAAAAGAAACATTTCTTATTGAGAAATTTATTTATTTTTTATTGTCTTTTAAAGTTCGGCCGGATTTCAATGAGAAACACTATGGAATTTTTCATCGACGATGGTCAAAAAATTTAAAAACTGCTGAATCAATTAGTATGTAAAGAGAACTAATTCAAAAAGATAAGATAAATTTTTTCATTCAGATCAACATGTAACTCTTTTTGAAAATGATCTTTCACTATTGATCGAACAATTGAAACAATTTGTTTATCTGGATATTTATGGCAAAATCAATCACGAAAAAGTCGAACCTTATCGATTGATGATTCAAAGACGTTTTCCTGATACTCATTTCTCCATTGAAAGGTCAAGGTTTCGCCTTTGGATATAATTTTTTGTATTTTTTATAAAATGATTGAATCTTCAAATGAAATATATTCGAAAAGAAATTTTTTTCATCTTTTCTTTCTGTCCTTGTTAAATATTTAATGAATTAAAACAAATTTGGTATAGAATTACTGCCTTTTCAAATTCAGTATTAATGTATTTAAAGCAAAATTCTTTTCAAGAACAAATAAAGAATTTGTTGTACATATTCGATAATTCTCGTTTTTCTACTCAATTAACATTTTTCCATTTGAGAAAAATATATTCAATTAAGATTATTGAGTTTTATAAAAAGTATCATGCGAATTCAAAATCCAAAAACATATCCAACTCAACAACGCATGATAAATATAAAAATATGTTGACAATCAATAATTTTTTTCTTTTCTATAAATAAGCATGAAGACATACTTCAACGATAAGATCATATACATTAAACATGATCATTTTATGATTAATTGAACTACTATTATGCAAAAGTTCTTCAGTGCTGAAAATTAATTTAAATGTGCAATATATTTTAATCATTTGTATTGTATGAATATCTTTGTTCAGCAAATTGTTCAGAAACTTCATTCATTCTTTTATTCGACCAATGAAGAATTCTTCTATAACAATAATAGACATGGTTAAGATTTAATTTTTCTTTATTTAGAACAAATTCTTCTATAGGATAACATGACACATGGTCTGATAATATTTCGGCGAAATAAAATATGAATGCATGTGTTCTAAGAGAGATTCGAGGCATTCTGATACATACGGAAATATAAATATGCATTCTTTCTCTCTCTCTCTGTTCTCTCTCTATGTCGCGCCGTCTGACCGTATAAACTATATTGGCCTTGATGCTTCATTTTTTTGAACTGTTATAAAAGATTAGTCGCTTCTTCCGTCCTGTGATCATCTAGTGGGTAGGATACTTAGATGAAAGAGAAAGCTAACACGCCATTATTCGCACTTCTCATGTGTATCCAGTGCTCTCAGCATCGCCGTGCAAATCTTTCACAATCTTTTACTAATCATACAATCCTAGCTATTCGAAATTTTTCGTTCGATGATTAGTTTTTTCCATGTTTTTACTTTTGTAACACAGATTTTTCGAGATTTTATTTTCCAAAATAGTTTTGTTCAGGATTTTTCTTTCGAGCTTTTTTCCGAGATTTTGATATCATAGCAATAGAAGTCTATCAGAAAAGAACATTAGCTCATAACAATCGAATCAAATCGACTGCAAATTTAAGTGTTTCTGAACCGAATCGAATAGAACTCAATTCGAATAAACATTTGCTTATTAGTTTTGGTCTCTGAGTATACATTCCAAGTAGGGCCTATTTAGTCTTTCAAGAAATCGTGCATTTCATAAAGATTCGTTTGATTCATTTATGCTTTATTTGCTTTAGTACTACACTACACATTACAATAATGAACGATTCCGAAAGGTAAATAGAAAAATAAAATATTTATTTAAAACATAGTTTTATTTATTTTAATTAAAGGTGTGTTAACACTATTATTATTAAAAATCTACCAAAAGATTATACAGAAGTAGTTTCTTTTGTTTGTATAAATGAAAGTTATTTTTATGTTTATTGATTATGTAGAATCAACTTGAAAAACTTTTTTCAAAATTTGGTCGTATTACATCAAGTACAATCTTACCAATTGATTCGAATTTAGAAGGTAGTTATGGGTAAGTTTTTTTATTTTTAACTCTTTCCAAATCAACTAATTTATTGTTTATTGGGTATTTTAGTTTTATTAATTATGCTGAACCAGAAAGCTGTACTGAAGCTGTTGAGAAGATGAATAACTATGTTATTGATCAATTTACTTTATATGTTAATCATTCATCAGTAAATATTGGTATTTGTTTTTGCATTTATTACTTTGAATAATATTTTTTTAAGGCACAAACGAATAATAATTTAGATCAACCACGAATTGAATCGTGAGTAATAAATTTATTTTTATATAAAGATTAATTTTTTAATTTAATTAATAGTCATGTTGATGATGAACCAAATTATGAGAATAATAGTACATCATCACCTAGTATTCAAAATCCATTTAGTAGTTTTCAATCAGCTACTACACATTCATCAACAACATCATCACAAATATATAATAATACATCTTTGAATACAAATGAATTCCAATCATTTTTGAATAGTGAAAAACTATTATGGAATACCACAGATATTGAAGAAAAAAATAATCAAAGTCTATTCAAAAATAGTAAAAATAGAATTTTTTAAATTGATATAACAACAAATAATTTTATGATTTAGAAACAACAATGAATATTTGTGAACATAATTCATTTGTAACCAATAAAAAATATTCTGTTTATTTATCAAACTTTCAATTACCAAATATAATATTTGTAGCAACATTAGATGATTGTATTAATTCAACAATACTTATAACAAAAATGAATAAACGTGATCAACTTTTGAAAACTGACGTGAACTCTTATAACTCAAAGTAAAGAAAAATAGTTTAGATAAACAAAAACAAAATTCGTTTTGTATTTTAAATAGATTAATAGTTGGACAATACTGTGCTGCACTTTTTGAAGGATACTGGTATCGAGCACGTATATTAGAAATTAATAAAAATCTTGTTCAGGTTCAATATATTGATATGTAAAATTCACTTTGTGTTTTTCTTTATCTTGCATCTGTAGTTTTAAATTAGGGGAAACATGGCATGGTGTGATTCAATTCTTGAAATTCAACCATTGCTGAATGAGTAAGTATTCAGACGTCTAATTAAATTACGAATTAACTTTCAACTTTTGCTCAGAATTAAACCCTATAATGACTCACTGATACCCACTTCTCTGATTTAGATGTTATAAAGATCCTGTTTTATGCATTAAATGCGTTTTGGATGGTGTACCAACTCAGGAAAAACTATGTGATGAACAAACAAATGCTATTCTTAAAACATTTGGTAGATTAGTTTAATAGAAAAATTCAAATGAAAATTTATTTGATATTCTAGTCTTCGATATTGAACTTGAAATGACTGTACTACGTTTTGAAAATAATCTTCCATATGTACAACTTAATTTAGGTGAACGAAATTTAAATATTGAAATACAAACAATATTATTACAACCATCATCATTTTCAACAACAGTAATAAAATCAAATTAAAATATAAAAAATAGTCTTGTTTTTTCAATAGATTCTGAAAAAATTAAATCACGAAATAATTAGTTTTGATTCAAATAAACCAGAAATGAATATATCTGAAATTCATTCTGTACAATTAATAGGAATTGATACTGATTTAGAATGTTTTCATGTTCTATTAATAAATGATTATCTTCTAACAATAATGAATGTACTTAAAGAATGGAATGTTAATAAACATCTATTAACTATTGAACCAAAACCGAATATGCTTATTTGTGCACAAGATGGAGATGATAATCTATGGTATCGAGCATGGATTCAAAATATTATAGGTATAATATTTTTATTTTTTTATAAGTTCAGTTTAAACACTTATTTTTATTAGGAAATGATTTTTGTGTATATTTTGTTGATTCTGGTAATAAAAAAGTTGTTTCAATTGATCGTCTTAGTGATTGTCCAGAAGTTTTACGAAATATTCCATGGCAAAGTATACAAATCAAATTAGCTGAGATTAACTTAACAGATGATGAACGTTATTTACTTTTAAACAATTTTGGAGCTGATCGACTTCAAATGAAAATTTTTTCAAATAACCAAAATATTTATTTTGTTGAATTAATCAAAGACGAAAAATCTCTTTCAACATATATTTTGAATTTACGTAAAAAGAAAGAAAAGCAAGCACACAATCCACCGATAACTAACGAAGTTTGTTTAATTCAATAATGAGAATATGTAAAATATAATTTAATTGTTATTTTTTATTGAAGACACTGAAAAACTTTGATACAACTCAGCAATTTGTGGTCCAGGCAGCAGCGCCGCCACCAATAATAGTAGCTGAAAATGCTCAACATATAGTTAAACAGAGTAAGGGGTTAAACGCAAGAAGTTTATTTAAAAGATTTTTTTTTGATCATATTATGAATTAAATTTTAACGATTATTAATCAAAAAAGAATCTAAAAATATATTTTTTTGTTGTTTCATCAGATGTAATGAATCAACAACAACAACAACAAAATTCATCAAAAAGCGCTCAATCATCCACTCAAAAAATATGTAAACATATTTCATATTGCAAAAAACTATATATGGACATACATATTCATTTTTTTCTATTGTTTTAGCAAAACTTTTGAAAAATACTGATGTTGTTGTTCAATTTATGGATAACAACATCAGTTATACAACTATAGGATCCGATTCTATATCTTCGTGTTCATTTATATTACTCATAGGTACTATACAAGATATAGAATTTTCCTACCTGTCGCATTATCCAGAGCCATATGAACCACCATATACTCCAACCACAACAATGCTACAAATTCTAAACATAATATCTAAAAATATTAGAGAACATTTAATGAAAAAACTCTCATCAAATCTTAAGGGAAAATTAGAAATTAGTCATTTTACTAATTTACATCTATTAGTTGGCGGTGGAGCTGTGGAAGATAATGATTTAATCAGAAACGGTTTAATCTTATTAAATGATCAAAACAACATGGAAAATATCTTCCACGATCCACTCGCCAAACATATATACCAACAATTAAAAAAAAATGTAACTGTTTTAAAAGCAGTTACATTTTTGGTCAACAATAATGATGGAAGTGGAGGTAAGTAAAACGCATTTTTTCAGTGGCGGTGGAGCGTATTAGCCTGGGTAGGCTCGATTTTATTATTCGTTTCGCATACGAAGCGGGGATTCGGGGCGAGGCGAGACGAAGAAAAGTTTTTCAAGTGTCGAAGCGAAGCGAGGCGGAGGTCAGCTTGCATCTTCGATATTTCCTCCACATCAAATCTCGTTAAAAAATACATAATACACGGAAGATCATGATTTTTCTTAGCAATGAAACAATGTGTTGAATATCTCAACATTTGAAAACTGTTTTCATACCAACTTAAAATGTATCCTTGATACTAATTATAGAAAATTAATGACAACTATTATAGTCATCAAGGAA